CGTCTCGAGGAGCTCCCTCTGGTTTTTGGTCTTACCATTGTGTTTGAAAGTCTGGAGTGGCAACTTTATGCGATTATTTTTTATTAGTCCGAATCCAAAGTATCTGTGGCAATGGTTATTTAGTTAAGCATTTGAGCTTTTGGACTGTGATAGTTGTGAAGATCCGTAACATTGTGAAATGGCTTAATGTACTGCTACTAATCGCATAATTCCTATGACAGTTTCTGACCATTTGGATTTTTTTTTTCTTTCAAATATAACATAAATGAATCATTTCCTTTTAAATATAAATATGTATGTTTTGTTGGTTCATTTCATTTTTATGTGGTGAAGATCACCCTAAAAAACCTAAAAAGCTGATTATATTTTTATATCCTCCCACTTATCATATCGTTGTGATGTTATACCATGATGCATTCAATAACACATTGTGTTATATAATGTAGATATAATCGATCCCATGTTATCATGGTTGTTGTATGTTAACCTTTTGTATGTTCTATGTAGAAATTTTCTATGAAGTTAAGCTATTGTATGAGGGCCTGGGAAATGGAAAGAGTGCCATTGGAGGAAACTTGACAGTGGAATGGTACCTGGTCATAGGGGTTTTTATAATTCATTGGGAATACAGTGCGATAGCAGTAGAGTTTTGAATGGTTTTTCATGGCTTGAAGACATATTTATAGTATAATTCTTCTTTGCGGTCTCGTAGTTCTTCTTTCTAACTTTAATCAAAAGATTTTTCAGTGAAGCAATAATTTTTTATGGTATGGTATTTCCTAATTAGGCCCTGTCTTAATTTTATATTCTGGCAGGACTTGTCTCGGATTGTGTTAGGTTGATTCATACTAGTGACACTTGGGCTCATTGTATTTTTTTTACGTGTGACTCCTCAATGTTCAAATTCAAGTAGTTTGATAATAGGTGTCGAACTTGACCGAGGATCTTGAGATCGACCGGGAGTAAACCTTCAGTAGGGTTACAAAGTGCAAACTATACTAACAATCTTGAACTCGATCAGGTTTAAAAGCCAAGTTCGCATGAGGCATTGTAATTAGGTACAACCTTGGAATTTAAGGGTTGGTTGAAAGGTTTATGTATAGTCCTCTATATCCAAGTTCGCATGAGATGCTTTCAAAATGAAAATGGTATGTATTGCCTGATTTTTTTTCCTTCACTTTTTGGTTAGCATTTAGTATGTTTGTCTCATAGAATACCTCAAACAGATTTCATGTTAATTGCTGACATTTCGTTGCTTTGAAAGCAGTTGGTTTTAAAACGGACTTCATTGTTTTACTTTTCCTTTTTTGTTATCATATCAAATGGAAAAATGTATGTGTAGTTGTGTACATACCTTGTGTGCGAGAGGACACTGCCTTACGATAAAACGCTATGCCACAGAAATCAGCTGGAGGAGTTTTGCTGCCCAGGTCAGCTGTTAAATTTGAACGCTATCTTATGGGAGAAGTGTGCCTACTCTTTCTTTTTGGCATGGTTCTAGTTCTTTATTTTGATGTAAGAAGTTGAACCTAAGGATAATTGAACAAGCATTGTTATTCTCAGATTCTTTCTGTTGGTGCTGACGTTGGGGAAGTGAAGGCTGGAAAGAAGGTAAGTAATTAAAACGTTCCCAAATAATGATCACACTTTTTCAGGTGTGAATTAATGTTGATTTTTTAAACTAAGCAATAAGTTTCTGACCAACTGAAGTTGTCTATTGTTTAAAACTTTTTAAAACTTTTATCCCGAAGTAGCGGGTTAGGTGCTTAACATGTCATCATAACGGAAATGCTTGTTCATTTTGCAGGTTCTTTTTTCGGACATAAATGCATATGAGGTAAATAGAATAAGTTCATGTTGAAAGTTATCATACAGTCCTGATCTTAATATTCTAAAAGAAACATTAGGGAATGGACTTCCTCTATTTTGTATGAGTTATTCTGCTTATCTTTTGGTTTTCCTCTGACTTTATTCCATGACACTGTTAACCTAATCCTGGCTGTCCTAGCATTATTAGTGGTTTTGATTTCCCGCTCCCCCTCCACACCTATGTCGCCGGGCCACCTTTCTTTCATTAGTTTTCTAGGTAAAGCTCAAGTGTCTTTAGTTTCTAGTTCTAATGGAAAACCATGTCAATCCAGAGGGTCTGTGATACAGTCACAACCTATCTTGTGACAGGTCTTGAACATGCACAGTTTTATTGTTGAGAACAGCTGACACAAAATCGCCACACCTTGCTGTGTACGCCAATAACGACCGACTGTAAAATATGGAACGGAGTAGAGACAGAATATATTCCATGTAAACTGTAGTCTGTTATGGAAATGTTCTGCTGTGATCCATGTAATGGCTGCATATTGATGCTTACACAATGAATTGACATTTTCTTCAAAATTTGGTTTCGGGTGGATTTGGGAGTAGATGGGAGGCATTGCTTCTGCAAAGAGAGTGAATTATAGGCCATAGTCGAATAAAGTTTCAGCTCCGAGTAGGTACAATGGTTTACATGATTGTTTCATGAGACTTTTCGTTGCCAGGATGTTTTTCCTTGTAGTGTCTCCCAACTCCCAAAACTATATATTCAACTCAAATTTGTAAACAACACTTTTCTGCATTAATTTTTATACTTTGATCTTCAATTCATTCGCTCCTATGACCGGAAATTAAGAGGAGTGTGCTGAAGGTAAAAAGAGGTGTGTGGATAGCACCACCTGTATTTAACCTCCTTTGTGAAATGCAAGCTAAGATCATCCGAAAATAATGGTGGAAAATTGGAAGTAGAGGGCATATCGTAAGGATAGTGGGGAAGGAACGATATGTGTGCATGGGTTATTGTTTGTTTATAAACGTAAACTGCTGATTTTCTCCTTGAACTTTCATCTAACGTTTAATTTGCCCCCTAAACTTTTAAATTGGAAAATCAAGGACTTAAATTTTTTTTTTTTTTGCCGATTTCCCCCTTACCGTTAGTTTTTTTTTTTATAGATTTCATCCAAATTAACGTTAACTCTACATTCATACCACGGGACTCTCCCTTGAGAACATAAACGTCACTTCGCTAGATCTTTAGACACAAAAGCTATAAAATCACATTGATTTGTACACTTCAAATTTTAGAAATCTAGGGTTTTCAATTATTTTAAAGAATGAAGTGACCGAACTACCTTTACATGTTGTGCATATGTTTTCATTTAACAGAAATTTAGATGGAATGAGTGAAAACTAATGGTTGGGGGAAATTTTCCAAAAAAATTAGTTTAAGTCCTTGATTTTTCAATTTAAAAGTTTAGGGGGTAAATCGAAAGTTAGATGAAAGTCCAGAGAGAGATTCGTAGTTTACTCTTGTTTATAAACACATTTACACAAATTCTGTCGTCCATTTATTTCAAAAACCATGAAGGAAAAGGTCGCAACTTAGCTGAAGCATATTGTTTCTTGGGTTCAATCTACATATCTTCCCCTTGGTTTTGTCTACGAGAGAAAGTGACCACCCAGCTCCCAAGAAGTATTGAGAGTCTACGTTGGAGTATGAATGCCCCTAATGTGTGGTTGCAATGATCTTGGCTTGTCAAAGGTTTTAGAGAAGACGAGTAGCATATACTTTTCTAACTTTGAAAGTTGGGAGGGACTAGATACAGAGTTATGCTTGACAAATGCAAAGCATACCCATCTCAGTTAAATTTTCCGCCCACCAACAAATAATTCAAAGTTGGGAAGGTGCTCGGGAGTGTTTTTGCTCATCACCATAAACTATGTTGTATGCTCATCATACACTTAATCATTTAGCATGTGTCCTTTTACTTAACTTTAGTACATTTTTACATTAAATGTTACTTTTTCAATTATAAAAAAATTAACCAAAGTTACGTGAAAGGACACGTGAAAGATGATTAGGTTTATGATGAGCATACATAATAGTTTATGGTGGTGAGCAAAAATGCTACCATGTTCCTCCTCCTTTTCGCATCGTACGATTTCGGTGCATTTCCCAAACTAATTCATTTTCAAAGAAAAGTATAAGAGGGATTAACTGTTTTTTTATCCTTTCTAAATTGAGAAAATTGTAGCGTTGAGCCTTCAACTTTAATCCAGTTAGAGCAATTGTCCATTGACTAAAAATCCATTACCATTGGTCCCTTAACTTTATCAAAACATGCAGTTATGATCATTTTCGTTAACTCCGTTACAATTCCATCAAAATGAGTTAGATTGAAAGAATCATTGCTCCAATTGGGTTAAAGGAACCATTGCTATAATTTTTCTTTATTGGTTGTTCATATTTGCCCCTCGATTCAGCCTCATGTGCACATGACTCATTTTGAAGGAATTTCTAACAGAGTTGAAGAAAATGACGGTTACTATGGATTTTTAGTTGAAGGATCATTATTCCAATTGAGTTAAAGTTGAGAGACTAATGCTACAATTTCCTCTTCTAAATTCACATTAGCTTATACAACAAATCGAGAAGCTGGCTAAAATTAAGGATCATAAATCATATTCCAATTTCTTAATTGGTTGAATTAAAGATCAATAACATATCGTCTGTATAGTGATGACATAAATATCAACAGTATAATGGCCAAATGTCAGCAATAAAGATTTGAAAAATGATAACTTCAACTAACTTCTCTAACATATATTCTACTTACGAATGAAAAGTAATTATAACCATACGATCAAAGTACGAATGTACCACTTGGAAGTTAAAATGAATGCGTACTACATTTGAATTTATATTTTTTTAGAACGAAATTTTAATTAATCTATCTAACTATGGAGGATGGAAATTCAAACTTGAGGCCAATTAGTTAATTGAAAGACTAATAAAAACCAAATTAATTAAAAAGAAGCAAAAACCCCCATATCAGCCTTAAAGTTTTTTTTTTCATTATTTCCAACGAAGAAGTACAATATGAAAACAAAACTAATTTTGATCCCAAAAGTCCTTATTCATATGTGCACGCATTTTTAGAATTTTGAATAAACCAGCTCGTACTCAAAGTTATGTGTTCTCCATGCCTGCTGCTTATAAACTGCGCTCTCCCCTCTTATCTCTAGCCGCCCAATTAAGTTCGCACAAACTGATACCATGGAGCTTTACAAGTTCTTTCCAACTGTGTTTTTCACATATTTTTGTATGCATGCTCTTGTTCTTCACTCGTGCCTTGGTTTGAGACCAAGGGGAAACGAGACAGATCAACTGGCCTTGCTAGAGTTCAAGGCTAGCATAACCAATGACCCCTTTGGAGTCATGACTTCGTGGAACAAAACCATCCACTTCTGCCATTGGTATGGAGTTTCATGCGGTCGTCGTCACCAGAGGGTCACCAGGTTGGACCTGCGGTCCTCGAAACTTTCGGGCTCTATATCACCCCATGTCGGAAACTTGAGTTTCTTGAGACGGATTCATCTACACAACAACAGCTTCAGCAATCAAATACCTCCAGATTTTGGCCGTCTGCGCAGATTGCAACATTTACTATTGCAGAATAATTCACTGAGTGGTGAAATACCCTCCAACTTATCCAGGTGCTCTCAACTCCTAAGAATTTCTCTTGCTTTTAATATTCTCGTAGGAAAAATTCCTAAGGAGCTTGGCACCTTGTCCAAGCTAACAGATTTTGCATTTCATGACAACCAGCTCACAGGAAATTTCCCCAACTCCTTTTCCAACATATCATCACTTGAAATTATTTCTGCAACTAATAACAAATTGTATGGGAGTATTCCAGATATATTTGGCCACATGACCAATCTTACATTTCTTTCTTTCGACGCAAATGACCTGTCAGGTACGATTCCCCCCTCAATCTTCAATCTCTCTTCTATCACAACCTTTGGCGTGACACTTAACAAAATCCAGGGGACTTTGCCCTCAAACTTAGGTATTGCCTTTCCAAGCCTTGAATATTTTTCTGTTGGCTGCAACCAATTTAGCGGACCTATTCCTGTTTCAATTTCCAATGCTTCAAATCTGTATCATCTTGATATGGGAGGAAACAAACTACATGGAAATGTCCCTTCTTTAGAAAATTTACCTAGGCTTGTGAGGATAGATCTTTCTGGGAGCAATCTTGGAAGTGGGGGAGATGGCGATTTGAGCTTTCTTTGCGATTTGACTAATGCCACTGGTTTAGAACGGGTAGAAATTCAAACTAACAATTTGGGCGGTGCCTTGCCTCAATGTATAGCCAACTTATCTTCTTCTCTTTTACAATTCCACGCGAGTGGAAACAAATTAGTAGGAAGTATACCAAACGGGTTTGGATATTTGGTTAACTTGGAGAGCTTTTGGCTGTCTGCGAACCGACTTTCAGGTCACATTCCACCGGACGTTGGAAAGCTTCATAACTTATATCAACTAAATATGGGCTTGAACTCTCTTTCAGGGAATGTTCCATCCTCTTTTGGAAATTTAAGTCAATTAACTATATTATATTTACATGAAAACAACCTTCAAGGCAATATCCCTTTGAGTACTTTGGCAGAGTGTGAGAATTTGAGAATGTTATCTCTTCGTGTTAACAATTTCAGTGGTGTCATGTCTCCTGAAGTCATCAGTCGTCTGTCATCTTCATTCTCTGTTTTGGATTTATCTGAAAACCATTTGACTGGATTCCTACCAAAAGAAATAGGGCATTTCCTAAATCTGGAGGCTTTTCATATCTCAAATAACATGTTATTTGGTGAGATTCCTCCAAATCTTGGGAGTTGTACTAAATTAGAGTTTCTAGACATGGCTGGGAACTTCTTCCAAGGGGATATTCCATCTTCTTTGGGTTCACTAAGAGGTTTAATAAGGCTATCTCTATCTCACAACAACTTGTCAGGCACGATTCCAGAATTCTTGGAGCTGTTTGAATTTATGCAATCTTTGAACCTCTCCTATAATAATTTTGAGGGCATGCTACCAATGGAAGGGATTTTCAGTAATGCAAGTGCCATATCAGTAGAAGGAAATAGTAAACTTTGCGGTGGAATACCTGACTTGCATTTGCCAGAATGCAAATTACAACGTTCCAAGAAGGGAGGATTGAGTCTAACCGTCAAATGGGTAATCTCTCTTATTTTTGGTCTTCTTGGAATCACGTTTGCCATCTTGTTTTGGTACCTTTGTAGCGTAAGGAGAGAGAGAAAGGAGCACACTTCAAGTGATTCAGAAGAATTTCTCAGGCTATCTTACCGAAGTCTTCTAAATGCAACAAATGGATTCTCCATTTCCAACTTTATTGGTATGGGAAGTTTTGGGTCTGTTTATAAAGGAGTACTCGAACAAGGTGAAACAGTTGCCATCAAGGTAATCAATCTCGTTCATCGTGGGGCTTCCAAAAGTTTCATTGCTGAGTGTGAGGCTTTCAGAAATATCAGACACCGTAATCTTTTGAAGGTACTCTCTGTATGTTCGGGGATTGACTATCGTGGTTGTGAGTTCAAGGCCTTAGTATATGAGTTCATGGTTAATGGGAGCTTAGAGGAATGGTTGCATCCAACTGAAACAATTGGTGAAAACATTGAGAGACCAAGGAGCTTGATTTTTCCTCAAAGGTTGAGTATTGCAATTGATGTTGATGTGGCATTGGATTATCTTCATCATCATTGTGAGACGCCAATAGTCCACTGTGACCTCAAACCCAGCAATGTTCTTCTCAATGATGATATGGTTGGACATGTAGGGGACTTTGGTTTGATAAAGTTTCTTCGAAAAACTACTCAGAGTAGAGATGGTAATTACTCAAGCTCTGTCGGAGTAAAAGGGACAATAGGTTATGCTCCTCCAGGTGAATATATATTCTTCAAATATCTTTTTATTAATATTTTTTCTCATTAGTAGATCATATTGACAAATGAAAGTTGGGGTTTAAGAAATTCTATTTACAATTTTTCTTTTCCAATTCATGAGTATTGTAGAGTATGGTATTGGACATGAAGTGTCGACACGAGGTGACATGTATAGTTACGGCATCATGCTGTTGGAAATGTTTACAGGAAAAAGACCAACGGATGAAATGTTTCAAGGAACTTTAAACCTTCATAACTTTGTCAAGGCAGCTTCTCCAGAGCAAATGGTAGAGATTGTGGATCCCCTTCTTGCTTATGAAGGAGTAGAAGAAAGCTTGATTGCAATATTAGCAATTGGTGTTGCTTGCTCTGCAGAGTCACCCAGAGAAAGGTTAGACATTAGTGAAGTTATCACGAAGATGTGTCGGATCAGAAACAAACTTCAGGAAAATAGCATAGGTGAATAGAAGCATACATTACTGTTATATTCGCATAGCGTGTTTAAATATGTTTTCCTTACATGTAAGAAGTTTCCATCTTTGTTTTATCAATAAACACAGTATAGTTATATAGAAACTTCCAAGATACGAAAGACAAGTTAAATGTGCATTGTTTCCTCAACCTTGGTTGTTTGCATTCCAATTTTATTGGCTTCACTGGTTTTTGATTTTGTTAATTAGTGTGCATCTCAGCTTACAAGTCAGTCCATCTTTCATGATTTTTTTTCCCTACATCTTGTTTTTGGTGTTTCAAAACTTGTTTTGTAAGTTTATACCTTTTAGGCTTTGTTATAGAAGAGATAGGCTCTATGTTCCCCTTCTTTTATCTTTGTTTTTTATTTTTTTATTTTTTGTATTTTTTTATCATTCATTTCCCCGTCTTTTCAAATTCTATTGATTATGAGATAAGGTTTACGTCCCTCTTACTTGGTGTAACTTTTATTTTTATTTTATTTTGGTTCAATTCTCCTCAAACAGCCCAAAATGTTTTATATTTATTTTTTAATGTAAAGGCAAAACGAGGGCATTAGAAGATTTAGCCTATCAGTTGAGGCACTGAGCAGAGAACTACAACTAACACCTGAACTAGCCAAAATATAGTTCCCAGTAAATTTTTGTAAAGAAGAGAGCTCAAGTACTTGGTGTTCCAAGATTGTTGAAAGTGATCCGAACAAAATCTCAAGTCTATGCAAGTTTTTTGCAAAGAAGATGGACTTTCCTTGTAGTTTGGTTTGATATGAGGCACTACATTTTTTTTTCTAACGTTTAAAATAATCTATAGATATTAACTTAAAAACGAAACAAATTTAAAAGGACTCCAAAATTAAAAACATATAATTTCTTATTTCCCACCCCCAAACTTAAATCACACATTGTCCTCAAGGTGTGGAAAATAAAATAAACATGACAACTTAAACTAAAATATAGGGTAAATTACATAAAACTATCTCAATTCTTGGGCCAGTCATAGTTTCATACTTCATCTTTAAAAAATGTCAATGTCATACCTCATCTTACGAATTTATTACAATTTCATACTTTCCATTAGTTTGCATGTCAAATTGATTGTTAAATGCTGCATGGCTTGAAGCGTGGCCCACTTTATACTAAAAAATTAATTAAATATTAAAAACTAAAATAAAATCATTTAACAATTTTTTTAAATGGGGGATCAACCCCTACAACCCATCCTCCTTTCTTCTCCATCCACCCGTGTCCCCGACCCCCAACCTTCCTTCACCACCAAAACCAGAGGGTGGATTGATAGCCCGATCGTCCATTTCTTCATCGCCGCCTTCCTTTTCTTGGTCCTTGCTATCTCCGTCGCTTTCTTTGTCTCTAACACTATCATTGGAAAATGTTGAATTTCTTGGCCTTGAACGTGAGGCTAGAGCGCATCGTCTCAGAAACCCTAGTCTCGTAAGTTCCATTAAACCCTAATTTGGAGGTGGAGTGAGAGGAGGAGGAGGAGAAAATGAGGATGGGGGCGATTTGATTAGGGCCAAAGAGGGAGCGGGCGTTGTCATCATCACCGGAGAAGAAATCCTCGTTTAAGGTTCCGACCCGGGTGATGTGGAGATATGGGCGGTGTCGACGGCGGAGAGTGGTTGGAGAAGGGGACTCGGCCGGAGATCGAGGAGACCAGTGGTTGGGATTTCCGGTGCCAGTGAGGACGAGGCGGGAGAGAAGGGTCACGGTCGACGAAGGATATGAGGAGGTAGGTCCCATTTTCGACGACCTTAGGGAAGAAGAAGATGAGGAGGGAGAGGAAGACGAAGGTGAAGAGGTTGCTGGCGAACTACGTCGTGGCTTGTCGGAGGAGCTGGAAGGTGTTGTGGAGGTGGTTCACAAGTGGGTGGGGAAGAAGGGGGATGGGTTTGTAGGGGTGGGTCCCCATTTAAAAAAATTATTAAATAATTTTAGTTTTTAGTTTTTAATATTTAATTAATATTTTAATAGAAAGTGGACCTCGTCTCAAGCCATGTCAGCATTTAATGGTCAATTTGACAAACAAACTAATGGAAGGTATGAAATTGTAACAAATTCGTAAGATGAGGTATGCCATTGACATTTTTTAAAGATGGGGTATGAAATTGTGACTGGCCAATAGTTGAGGTAATTTTGTGTAATTTACCCTAAAATATAATATAATTATAAAAGTGAAAATGATCAACAAAACCAAAGAAAAAGAAAGATATTACCTGGGCTTGAAAATGAAGTTGTTGCACGGCTGGACTAGGAGCAAATGTGGCCTAAATTTGAGCCTGAGATGATTGGGGGCCACCCCCCATGATGGGGCTCATTCAAGCAAAAGATGAAACAACCCATGTGATTACCAAGCCCAAATCCAAAACGTCCCAGCCAGCTGCTCATCTAGCTATTTCTCTCTCAAGCTGCTTCAGAGAGCTTCTTTCTCTAGATTCTTCTTTTCTCATTCTGCGATGTCCTCCTTCATCATCTTGCTGCCTTCGAACCTCAGAAATCCAGCACCCTCAAGCAGCAATACCTACAGCCGCAAAGATGACGCCGCAGATCACATCCCTGTCTGATTCCGACACATTCACGGGTAATTTTTATCCCCATCTCCCTTGGATTTTTGTCTCAAATGCATGTGTGTTTCCTGTGTGTAGACTTGGGGATTCGAGTGAGGCCGAGGGGAAAATAGTAACTGCGTTAAAATTAAGCATGGTGTGATGTCTCTGAAAATCATGCGGATCTCCGTAATGTTTTTGTCATGCATCCTAAGACTTAAATTTCTTCAATGCTCGTGTAATTTTCTGCGTGCTTGCATGCCGATCTGTGACATGGCTTGATGAATGTCCGCCGTTGTGCTGTCTGGTTCCCCCAAACTTATATGTTAAACAATAATTTTATTAAAATATGAGAGAGATTCTTCAACCCTGCCTCAATCTTTTCTGCATTCGTTTGGAATCTAATTATTGTGGATGAATGCTACTGAATGCATGATTTAGTTGAATATCTGCGCCTAGTGGATATTTAGGGCCAATTGATTCTGAATTCAACCTGCCAAGATCACACATTAAAAATCGGGTGAGAATAAAAACCCAAAATAAAAAATAAAATAAAAAAACTGATCAACTAAAATGAATTGTTGTTTTTGTATTTTTTTTTTTTAATTTTATGATTTTTTTTGGGCTTTTTGTCACAAGGAATAAAAACAAGAAATAAAATGAACAAAATAAAAAGAAAAAAGCTGGAAAATTTGGGTTGCCTTCCAATTAGCGCTTTAGTTGACGTCTATAGTTAGACGGATGGGAATGAGGCTGATGATCACGTCATTTGTTCCTTTAGAGTCAACCACGCTTTAGCAGCATCATAGAGCAATGGTAGGTATGGAGTGACTTGAACTGTGCATTTAAATTTGATAACTCTGAGAAATATGACTATGGGAAAATGAATAAGGAGAGCAGAAGCTTAGAAGAAAAGGGAAAAGGGGTTTCAGAATGCTTTGTATTTCACTGTATGAAAAATATTACAAGTCTTTACAATGTGTTATATAGCCTCTCAGCACACATGGACTATTACAATACTACCCCTTTGTAACTAAATCTCTAACCATCTAACTACTTGAGTGATAATGGTTATAACCAATCGACAAATGACAATGGCTAATACTCCCCCCTCAAACTGTGCTAGGGTACAACTTAGCAAAGTTTGAATCTACAAAACACAACCCTGTAATGCTAGTGTGCAAATGAATTAACTCGGAACTGTAATACTGGAGATTGCAGATTGTGATCCTAATCTCAAGTTGTGACAATGCTTCACAAAAACAGGGCCATGTAATCCTTTAGTTAGGACATCAGCAACTTGCTCTTCTGTGGGAATGTATTGAACACGCAGATCACCTTTTTGTACTTTCTCCCTCACAAAGTGATAGTCAGTGTCGAGATGTTTGATCTTAGAATGAAAAACAAGATTCGAACATATAGCAAGTGTTGACAAGTTGTCACAGTAAAGATGAGGATGTGAGGGAAAACACTGATGCATGTCTCTGAGCACTGATCTAATCCAACAAACATCAGCTACACACTGAGCTATTGCCTTATATTCTACCTCTATTGAGCTGCGCGAGACAGTGGATTGCTTTTTGGACTACCATGAGATATGATTAGATCCTAAGTATACCACATACCCGGTTATTGATCTCCTAGTATTGATATATGCTGCCCAGTCTGAATCTGAATAGGCAGCTATAGATATATCTTCACCCTTTGTATATTTCAAACCACAAGTGAGAGTACCTTGCAAATACCTCAGAATTCTCTTGACCAAATGAAAGTGTGAATCTGTTGGAGTGTTCATAAACTGACACACCATATTCACTGAGTATGCTATATCATGTCTAGAGAATGTTAAGTACTGTAAAGCACCCACCAAGCTTCGATAAAGAGTAGGGTCTGTCATTAGTATGCTTTTAGATTCAAGCAACTGAGTATGAGGTTTAGAGGGTGTAGATATAGGTTTACAATGTTTCATACCAGCTTTTTTCAACAAATCTCGGGCATATTTAGACTGATTAATGAATATAGACCCATCTTGATTATACTGGATATGAAGACCAAGAAAATAGGTAAGTTTTCCCATATCTTTAAGATCAAATACTGCAGCAAAGCTTGTAATCACTGATTGAATCTTTGAAGCATTGGAACCGGTCACAATTATGTCATCAACATATAACAGGAGGAGAATAACATCCCTATGATCTTCTTTAACAAACAAACTTGTATCAGATAAGGATGTAACAAACCCCAAAGTAGGTAGGTAGTTAGTAAACTTTGAATTCCAAGCTCGTGGGGCTTGTTTCAAGCCATAAAGTGACTTTATTAACCTGCAAACATAGTTTGGATGTTGTGAATCAACGAACCTCTGGGGCTGCTTCATATAAACTTCATCTTCTAACTCTCCATGTAAGAAGGCGTTTTTAATGTCTAGTTGCCTCAAACTCCAACCAAATTGAACTGCTAAAGCTAAAATCATTCTGACAGTGGTATGTCTCACCACTGGACTAAACGTTTCAGAATAGTCCAAACCTTGCTCTTGGCTATACCCTGGTGCAACTAGCCGAGCC